TTTACACTAACACAAATAGAGATTAACTCTGTTTGTGTTTGGAAACAACAAAGCCTGGACAATGGATTCACATTCCAAGGCACACTTGAATGTGTTTTCACATGAACACACAAAATTGTTTTTGCTTTTTGAAGCAGAAAACAGTCAATTCACAAGCATGTCTATCAGGGAGAATATACAAAGACACTGTGAATATTTATGTAAATGTATATTTTTTGATTAAGAAAACACAAAAACCTAACCGAGGTGCATTTTTATATACAAACTGTTAACCAGTTAGCTAACCAGTTAGCAAACCTGCTAAGTTGCTAGCTTTTCACTCACAACTTAACCACTTAGCTAAGTCCTGTAAACTTTATAACTTCTTTAGTAACTCCTGATAAACAATAAGATCTTCAGGGGACATCCCAGTACCGCGCGGCGTCGCGGTGTGTCGCAATATCTCGAGCTGGTAGGTGGGTCCCAGTTGGGGATGTTCCTCGTAGTTGCCCTTCTTGACCTGTTCTTCTGTGAAGCCACGGCGCAGCCACACCTCCATGGGCAGGAAGGGCCCGCCGCGGCTCGACCGCGTCGTGCGCCGCTGAAACCGCCGCAGGGTCTCCTTGTACGCGGCCTCCACCGTCTCCCACTTCAGGCGGCTGTCGGGGCTCTGCCGCCGCTGTTCGGCGACTTGCTGGTAGAAGGCCAGCTTCTCCTCCGCGGACAGATCCGCCGGCCACGAGAGGCCGTGGCGCTGGCGCTGTTTGTCGACCGTGCGACAGCTCTGACACGCACCGGCCTGCGGCACTGCCGCCAGGAGCCCGCAAGAGACGCAGCGCTTGTGCTCACCTGCCTCGGGCGGCGCTACCGCCGCCTCCACAGCACCACCACCACCGGTGGGCGGACCGGCCGCCGCCTCCAAACCCACAGGACCGGTGGGCGGACCAGCCGCCGGCTCCGGTGACTCCAGCGCCAAGGTGGGCTGTCCATCCTGGCTCGCCATGGCGCCAACTCCCGTTCTCCAGGCTGACCCACAAAAGTGTCTGCAGCGATCGGGCGGTCGCGCCGCGAACACGGAAATGTCCCCGGAGGAAAAACGCCCTATAGGTGACCGGGGGGTGTAAATATCTATATCCTATATATATATATATATATGATGGAAAAATTCGAGGACCTGGGGCGTCCCAGAGTGGACCTCAATCCGCTTCAAACTCTCAAGCGGAAACTCGAATCAAAACGCCGAAAATCTATAGGGCCCCGGAATGTCTCGAGACATTCCGAGACTTTCCGGGGCCCTGGATTTTTTGCGTTTTGCCTCGAGTTTCCGCTCGAAATTCGAAACAGACCGACACATTCCGAGACACTCCGGGGCCCTGGATTTTTCGGCGTTTTGATTTCAAGTTTAACGTCGAAGCGGATTGAGGTCCACTCTGAGACGCCCCAGGTCCTCGCAGTGTAGGAAAAAACCCAACCCTGTTTTCTTTTTCGACTCACGAACTGGGCGGCACCACCGCCTGCTGCAGGGTCGTCTGCGGCCCAGCCGCATCGGACGTCTCCTCTGTGGGCGGGCCAGCCGCGCCAGACATGTCTGCCTCCGCCTCCGGCTCCTCCGCGCGTGGCTCGGCCAAGGCAGAAAGCATATCCACCTCCTCGGTCTCCTCGGTCTCGATCGGCGCGGACGCCAGCGGCGCTGCCGCTTCTGCCAAGCTCGCCGCCGCCATCACCGCGTCGGTCGGCGACGGCTCCTCCGCCATAGCCTCTGCTAGCGGCGCGACCGCCTCCGCTGCGGGTGACGGCTCCTCCTGCTTCACAGCCGCCCTGGGCGGTCCGGCCGCCTCCACGTCCGGCAGCGGCTCTTCTGCGGTGGCCTCCTCCTCTGCGCCCGCCGCTGGCACGTTGGCTGGCGGCTCAGCCGCCCCCGAGGCCGCAGCTGCAGCTGCTGCCGCATTCAGTGGCTGGAGGGTTTCTGCCACGACTTCAACACCGCCAAGATTTGGGCGGTTGCGGCGCAGATGCCGCCGGTCTCTGGCGACTGGACGCATTGCCGCTGCGGTCCGCCGGCGGCCATGAGGAGATTGGAGTTGCGGTCGGGCCGCTCGCCTCCCGTGTGTTCGTGGTGGCGCCGCGAGGGTGAACACAGCGTGGTGCTGCTTGGGTAACCGCAGCAGCCGCGGCGCAGAGCGCGGCAGACAACAAAGTCCGCGGCAGGGCACCGCGCGACGGAGGCGTCCCACGCGCGAAAAAAAAATCCGCGAGCGCGCGGTCGGTGTATACAACGATATATATATATATATATATATACGCATATATATCAAAGGCTATATCAAAAGAATGGGGGGGAACTTCCTGTCCCTCAGCCGATCGAAAAATATTCAAAAATATATATATATATTTGCGCAGAAAATTATAGCCTAAAGTATCAAGAAACAACGCAAAGTGCATACAGTCCACGCTGAAAACATACACAGATTTGCTCGTTTTGTACATAAACATACATTTTCCCAAAAGTTTGATTTTGGAAAGTGTTTTAGCTATCTGGAAGTTATCTCGAAGTTATTTTCATTGTTTTTTTTAAAAAATAACTTCAAAATAATTTATACAAGTGCAAGTTAACTTCAATAGAGCCCGGGTCTCACCTTGTATGAAGAGAGTTGTGGACAAGAAAGCTGAGACTTCATTTTATTGTGGCAGATGTTGGAAGTCAGTTGCGTGCAGAATATGTTGGTTTTTTGACGACAATCAAGCGGATTGCTTTGGACATCAGAACAATCAGATGAACGCACAGGGGAAAAAACCTGCTCATTGCTGATGCTGTCAGATTTTGCAAACCAAATCCCTATAAATTCACGTCTCAGCCCAGTTGAACCCAAACAACCCACTATAAAATCAATTCCGACCTGAGCAAAATAAAGTTAAAACTACCTCAAACCTATACTAGATCATATTTTACGTCTTCCTTCTGCTTTCGGGCGCCTTAGATGTTGAGACTTGATTTTATAGAGATTTACTGAGTCATGTCGAGTCTTCATTTTATAGTGGAGAGATTGCTGGATGTTGGGGCAGGCGATTTATGGCTATAAACTGGAAGCTGAGAACTGGCGACTTTGTAGTACAACTTGAGTACGCGGAGTATCTGGGGAGCTGGAAGATGAGAACTGGCGACTTTCTAGTACAACTTCAGTGCGCGGAGTATCTGGGGAGCTGGAAGATGAGAACTGGCGACTTTGTAGTACAACTTTAGTACGCGGAGCAATCTGTGGAGCTGGAAGCTGAGAACTGGCGACTTTGTAGTACAACTTTAGTACGCGGAGTATCTGGGGAGCTGGAAGCTGAGAACTGGCGACTTTGTAGTACAACTTGAGTACGCGGAGTATCTGGCGAGCTGGAAGATGAGAACTGGCGAGTGTGTAGTACAACTTCAGTGCGCGGAGTATCTGGGGAGCTGGAAGATGAGAACTGGCGGCTTTGTAGTACAACTTTAGTACGCGGAGCAATCTGTGGAGCTGGAAGTTGAGAACTGGCGACTTTGTAGTACAACTTTAGTACGGGGAGTATCTGGGGAGCTGGAAGATGAGAACTGGCGAAGTTGTAGTACAACTTTAGTACTTAGTACGCGGAGTATCTGGGGAGCTGGAAGATGAGAACTGGCGACTTTGTAGTACAACTTTAGTACGCGGAGCAATCTGTGGAGCTGGAAGCTGAGAACTGGCGAGTGTGTAGTACAACTTTAGTACGCGGAGTATCTGGGGAGCTGGAAGATGAGAACTGGCGACTTTCTAGTACAACTTTAGTACGCGGAGTATCTGGGAAGCTGGAAGATGAGAACTGGCGACTTTGTAGTACAACTTTAGTACGTGGAGCAAGCTGTGGAGCTGGAAGCTGAGAACTCGCGACTTTGTAGTACAACTTTAGTACGCGGATGAGTCATCTCTCGCGGCTGCTCTGCACCCGGCTCTCTTGAGAGGTTGACAAATTTTGGCTACTTTGCTTTCTCATAAGTGGCTGCCACAAAAGAGTGATCGTGACGTTAGTATGTGTGTACTTCACCTTCATGACAAAAGATGTTCGCTTGTAATACACGAGTCGCTTGTCATGATCGTGACGTCGTTTACTCTCAGGTCGCCCTGTTCGTGGAAACTTCAATGTGAAATGTACGTTCTTCAATTCTAAGCGTTGTACTTGCACAACTGAGGTTGACGTTGCGCTGCCGTTGCATCGACGCATCTACGCCTACACCCCCTCACCTCTCTACATTTACATCTTCACACGCTCACATCCGCAGATCTACCTCTCCACCTCACCACACCCACACATCTGCGCATCTATATCTCACATCTGTACATCCACACTGTCGCTCCTTCACATCTGTCCTGTCTTTCTTTCTTTCTTTCTACATATCTTTTCTCTCGTCTCTGTGCATTTACATCTTCGCACGCTCACATCGACAGATCTACCTCTCCACCTCCATACATCTACAGATCTATATCGCGCCTGCGCATCCACACTATCACTCCTTCACATCCAGCCTCTCTTTCTCTCTTTCTATACATCTTTTCGACAGTGCTGGACAATTGCATGTCTCGCTCTCGGGCCAACCGTCGTCTAGTTTTCTTTCAATTCCAACATTCACTTCTTTGGCTTGTAGCAGTTGGACTGTGGACAGGAGAAGCAGCGAGAATGGAAGCGTGTAGGATCTATCCTCCAGCGTGCCATGGCTCTGTGCTTAGTGGGAGCATGGAACATCCACAATCGTAAGCAGGGGAGCAATGGGGAGTTCATAGCAACCTGAAATCTCTATGGCCAGTGTAGACTGAGGTGGTGCCCATGGAGGAGTTGACAGTCGGAACCTTTGATGTCAACTTTGTGAGTTCGTTCTCTCTCTCTCTCTCTCCCTCCCTCCCACTCCCACTCCCACTCCCACTCCCACTCCCACTCCCACTCTCATTCTCTCTGTGACAAACAAATGGATTGATGGAACGGGAGCTCACGGAAGTACCATACTGTACTTATATTTATACAAGTCATTCAAGCCTGCATGTTCCAAGGCCGTGCGCATCCGGCTGCGTTCGGTGGTGGTAGGGGACACAGCGCCAGCCTTGGAGGACTCAAGAGAGCCATTGGGGACTACCCCAGCCTCCACATAATATTTTGAATAGGAGTTTTGTACAAAAGTTAAAAACACTGTGAGATGCTAATCTGATGTATTGGCCCATATTATGTGGTTGTTGCCACAAGGGGCATGTGCTGCTATTGTAGCATGTTGGGTGGAGTTAGTAGAGTTCAGTATCTGGGTTTGTGGTAGAAATGCCAGAAGCTGGCAGTTGACCCTTCCTGTGTCTGCAATTATTTTCTCTGTCCCGGATGGTGACTTTCTCAAGGAACTTAGTGAACTTTTGATAGGCACTTGTCAAGCATTGTTGTTGTTTCGCAGAACCATTAAAGCCCTGACCATTTTTCTTCCCTTATGATAACAGGTCTCTAGCCGCTGCGGGGGGCAGGAGCTTTGCTGCGAATCCGAAACTCAATCCCTCGATATGGAGCTTTGCAATCCGCAGGCAAAATGCTGTCAGCTGCAGGGATAGCTTTCATAGGTGCATTCTCACTTGTCCCAGCAGCGGCAGATTGTTTTGCAAGTGATCGACTTTATTTTGGCTGCGGCTACTGGAATGTAGGAGAAAACTAAAGCAGACGATAAACACGCAGCATCCCCAGGACTGCAAATTGGACAGACTTACAGTAGCTGAAAATGGAGTCCAATCACACCACCCCCAAGAGTGTCGAAAGTGTTTTTTTCGTCAAGGAGCGTTACCACCTAGGCAGCCAATAAAGACAAAGGAAAAGGAACGAGGTTAATGGCTAAGCCATGCCAGAAGCTTCAGCTTGCAGGCCCTCCTTCCAGATGACCTCTTTGTTCACCCAGAAGTTCCCATCGCTGGGTATCCTAAACAAACCCAGATTTTGCAGGCTGTGCTCAGTTTGAGTAAAGACAGGAAGCGTGCGGGT